ACCTCTCCTGACCCGCCCGCTGCTCCCCTCAGCAGTGTACTTCGTCGATCTGCCTGTTCTGCTCCCCGCTCTGTCTCTGGTGAAGCCTCTCACCGGCCCTGAGCCTCTGGCCTGTACCCCAGTTCTGTATGTACAAATAAATGAATCTTTAAAAAAAAAAAAAAAAAAAAGAATGGGGGAAAGGCAAAAAACCTGAAATTTTATCTGCCAAGGGAGGAAATCAGTAACTAATGTCTAAAATCAATGTAAACTAAAAGATAAGCTAAGGGAGTTGAAAATTGTGACCACTGGAAAGCAGAATTTCCAGGTTTCCTGCATCAACAAAAAAAGAAATTTACTATACATCTTTCATGAATATGTGACTTTGTATGTTACATATAATTTTGTGATAAATTATGAAAGTTTTAAAAATACTAGACAAGTGGGAGTTAAATGATAAAATGAAGTTCTTAAGAAGGTGGAAGAGTGACCCATGACAGGAAGTGGTGAATATTCTGGGGAAAGAAGTACAGAAGTGAAGATGGACCTGGAAATAAATAATGTAGCAAGTACTATAGGTTCCAGGGGCAAGATGTTGGAGAAATCCATGCCTGAAGAACAACTGCTTCTGGTAAAGTCTGCTGCTGGGAGAACTCAGTGGGTAAGCAGCATAGAGAGATCTGTGAAATAATGTAATGCATGTAACAGGATGTTATTTGGAAATTTTGACTAAAACATTAAAGTGGTAGCTATCAGGAAATGTAGTGACCTGTGTGGCTACTGTGTGGAATTTTCAAAGGACATGTTTGAGAAGGGAATTGATGGCTCTTAGCCCCTTCCTTCTTATACCAAGTATGTAAAGAGCTGGAGAGGTCAGAGAATTGTGAAATGAACTTTTGGAGAAAGCTATAACTGTGAACCCCTTCAGGAATGAATAGAATGTCATCTCAAGGCAAAAGAGAAAAGCACAAGAGCCCACTGGGAAAGCTTGCCTTGTGTCCCCTGAAGTTAGAAACCTAAAGGTCAGAAGTTGGGCTGGGCAGTCATTGAGGGATAAGGCAAAGCAGGGAAGCTGAGTAAGAATCAGCCAAACACCAGAATTTGCCATGACAAAGTAACCATGAGCTTTGCCCATGGACCAAAGATGGGTCATGGTAGTTCTGTGCTTTTCAAGCAAATCATGAAAGTGCTGTTTTTTTGCATAAAAAAAAGTCTTCATTATATTAATACTTCAGTAGGGTGTAAAACTCCAAAATTAAGAGGCTGGACATATATGAAGCACAAATGCAACCCTAGATCAGTTGAGGTTAAGGTAAGTAAACACTATATCACAATACATAGGTAAGGACTGAGTAAGTAAAGACTATAATAAGGTTATGACTGTGCCTCCAGGAGTCACCAAAAACAAGCCTAGGAGGTCATCCATTTATTCGTTTATCACTCAAAATGCTTGTGCTATGGCTTATATCCAGAGCTAAAGATAAAAGGATGAATAAAAAGACAGATGAAGCCCCTGTCCTCACAAAGCATGAAGTCTAGTAGAAAAAGCAGATATTTAAACAGCTTTTAATTTCATGAATAACAAATCATTTTGATAGGAAATACGCTACCATTATCAAACTCATAACTGCAGGAAAACTATGAAATGTTTTGCAGATCTATATATATGGGACTTTCTGCTCAAATCCGCAAATATTTTGTAGATACCAGAATTTACCGCCTGACTTTCAGTTCTGAGAAAAGGGGGTTCTGACAAAAACTGAGTCATAGACTGGACAGATTACACAGTACTTGGGAGAAATCTACTAGGAAAAATCTCTTCCTCTTTCCAATTTACTATGAGATTTTTGTATGGTAAATTTCATCAAAGACAATAGAATAATAAATAATAACAAACTACAGTGTTTCAGGAAATATTATCTGAAAAGGGCACGGTGGGGGGAAAAGGGCACGGTGGAGCGCAGCTCAATGATTTGTCTAGTCTCTCCACCACAGGAGCTGGGATTTGAACCCACCTCCACCTAACACAGGGCCCTCTCTACCCGTGGATATCCCCACATCTCAGCTTAGCTATGATGCTTGAGCAGCATGTCCTCCCCCTCAGCGCTTCTGGGAAGGTCCACAATTTTTCTACACAACCCTTCACCAAGGGCCCTGAATTTCCAGGGAAGAATCATTAAACTCGGGTACCACAGCACAGTAGCTTCAGCCTGTGAGACTTCCAGGAGCCTAAACCAATATATTAAAGACACCAAAAGCTTTATTGTCTCCCAAATTAAAAGAAAACAGCAAAATTAAAATGAATAAATATTTAATAAGGTAGCTACAAAGAGAGATGTGTGTCTACCAGCCAACTGTAATTGAATTCAACTCTTACCTCATTATATGTAAGTAGAGTGAGACAATGACTCCAGAGAACAATAATCTTTTATTTTCTTAATAAAGTTCAGAATTACAATAATCCTTCACGTTTTTTAGTAACAGCAACAACAAAAATCTTATCTCCTCTGTGAGAACTGAGGTGTGCCTGGATGTGTTCCATGTGACAAGGAACTTCTGAAGGTCCTGAGGGGACATGAGGAGCCTGGGGAAGGGCAGGAAACCAGCACTCACTCAGAGACCTCTCCTCACCCCCTCGATGCCTGCAATCTGCAGCTTGACCCACAGCAGCAAGGCCTCTCCAGATTTCTGTGCATCCTCTGGGATGGATGCATCTTTTCATTTTGAACCTCCGGAGAGGCTTTTTCCAGGTCCTGTCCCTCCCCACTTCTCCTTAAAACCATGAAGTGCTCATTTCTTGTGCCCCATTCTCCTCCCAGCAATGATGTGCCCCTTGTTCAAACAAAGGCCACAGGGATGCCTGCCCAGCAGGCTGAGCCACCAAAACTCTGGGGATGAGGGGGAACAAAAGCAGAGGAAAAGCAGAGTGCTGATAGGGGCAGAGGCCATCAGACACTGGACTGTAAAGAGCTGGGAGGCAGAGGAAGTGCACCAAATGGAGACCCAGACGGTGCAGTGGGAGCTGGGTGAGTAAGGCCTGGAGGGGTCCCCTGTACAGATACACTGAGAGGGGCCCAGTTTGCATGCCTTGTGGTTGAGACTCCTAGCATGGCTTGGGAAGTGTGGGGAACTCTGGAGAGGCAGGAGGCAGCCTTCTTTTGCCACCCATGAAGAGTCACTGTGTGGCAATAACCATGGTCCCAGACCTCACTGCTGGGAGGGGAATGGGGCACAAGAAATGAGCAGCTTCATGGGTATATGGAGAAAGGGGGAGGGACAAGAGCTGGAAAATGAGGTTCAAAATAAAAAGATGCATCCATCTCTGAGTTTGTGCTTATCAGTTCTCCAGACTAATACCAGCCAGAGAGAAAGATGGCGGAAGGCTGCTCTGGGTTAAGGAAACTGACACACACCTGCCTGGCTTCTTTTTTCCCTACCCTTTTCCTTTACTCTTTTTTTTTTAAATTTATTTATTTATGCATGCAGAACTGGGGTACAGGCCAGAGAAGCAGGGGCAGTGAGAGGATTACCAGAGACAGAGTGGGGAGCAGAACAGGCCCACTGACGAAGTACACTGCTGAGGGGAGCAGTGGGCAGATGCCACACCATGTGGTCATCTCCGGGGCAGGCGGGGATCGAACTCAGGCTGAAGTGGCTTTAGCTTCTTAGTGCTGTGCTTTAATCTGCAGCAGCACCAGGGCCCTCCTTTACTCTTCTACCATCGTTTGTGTCTACTTAACCTCTATAAACCTCTATCTCCTAGTCTGTAAAATGGGACCAATGGTAATACTTACCTCAAAGACTGTTGTGAAGATATAATACTAATACACATAATACTAATGCACATAAAGCAGTTAGAATAGGATCTGGCATAGACTGATTTATTATTATGTGTCAGCCATTATCATCCTCTTTTCTTCCTTTCTTTCCTTCAGCTGGTCTTTTTCAAAGCCTCCTGTCAATCTCCCACCACCATGTCATGAGCTCAGTATGGTGCTGTATCAGTACTCTGGAGACTCAGGTCCTGTGCTGAGATGTTCAACCAGGACATATTCCACTGGAACCCAGATCAGTACTGTAGTAAGTGCTAGAAATCAGGAAAGAAAGTTACTGGTGGCAGGCTGGGGAAGTCAAGAGAAGGCCACTGCTGGGTTGGTCTAGAAAACAGAAAGTGGGGTTCGGGGGAGAGAATAGTAGCAGGGACCTTCACAGCTGATCAGTTTGAGGGAGGCAGGTAAGGTAATATGAGGGGTTTGGGCTGCATGTTGCCAGAGCTTATATGGGGCATGGGAGACTGAGGCGATGCTGCCACCTGTAGGGAGCCTAGAGGCAGACAAGAGGGCTACATTTATTAGGAGGGCCACTGCCTGTGCCTGCTTGACCTCGTTATTGCATCTAACCCTTCTAATAACTCTGCATTCGGAAGCTTTACTGATGAACACAACTGATTCTCAGTAAGTGGAAAGCAGAGCCAGGATCCCAAGCAAAGATGTCTCCTGGGTTTCCAGCCTCTGTTACTTCTCCCTATGTTTCAGCACGTCATACCCCACCCCAGAGACCATGTCATTTTTGTGTTTTATTCCAGAAGCCTTTCCAACCACCGAGATGGCTTAGACCACCCCCTTGCCAGGGGCCCTGGGGCTATGGAAGCTAAGTCCATCCCCATCGTGGGAAAAACTCAGGAATCCACAGATCAGGGAGTAAGATGCAACCCCAAAGCACGTCAGAGCCTGTCAGGCTCCATGAGACAGTGACTGGACAATAAAATACAAGTCTGTAGGTGAAGGGTCCCAATGCCATATCAGGAAGGGACACTCAGGTTGCCCATTTTAGACAGTAAAAGGATGATCCTGAAAGTGCATAATGGGGGGTGATGATCCTTAGTTTTGTAGGCCAACTTGCCTTCACTGCTAAAATCATCTTAAAATAGAGCTTCCGGCCCTCCCTGGTGGCGCAGCAGGTTAAAGCACTGCACTAAGAAACTAAAGCCACTTCCGCATGAGTTCGATCCCCGCCTGCCCCGGAGGCGACCACATGGCGAGGCAGACCTCTCCTGACCCGCCTGCTGCTCCCCTCAGCAGTGTACTTCCTCCATCTGCCTGTTCTGCTCCCCGCTCTGTCTCTGGTGAATCCTCTCACCCTCCGCATCTTTGGCCTATACCCCAGTTCTGTACGAATAAATAAATAAATCTTTAAAAAAATAAAAAAAAAAATAGAGCTTCCTAGAGAAAACTATGCCCATGGAGAAATTGAGGGCCCAGAAATGAAGAGATTTGAGATCAGAATCCCAAAGCGATAGAACCCACGTCTCATGAATCCCAGCTTGGGGTTGCTTGAAGTGGCTGATTCCCCAGACTTTTCACTCTTTTCTCCAAGACAATCGTCCTTTTAATTGGCTCACTCCGAGGTCAGTTCACAGCTTTGAAAACCCAAGATTCAAGAGTCAAAGTATAAAAGGGGTTTACCACAGCTTTCCCTTTACACTTTAGGTTTCTATAATGGGTGTGGCTGGAAAAGCTAAGAAATAATCCACACGGAGCTCCTAGACTCCCAGAATCCATGGCCTCTGAGCCACATTTTTGCAGGGCAGATGAGGGACTATGACTCCAGAGCCCTTAATCTGTCTACAGTGACAGCAATGTATGCTGGCAGGGCATTCCTATCATGAACCAGTCTCCTACACTTACCTCCTTGCCTGGGCATATGACCACCATGAACCAGCGGTATTAATTCAAAGCCTTCTTCCAGACATCACTGGAAGAGACATCCTTAGACACCCCAAGCTACATACAGCTAGTGATAGAAAGCACAGGGTCAGACAGACACACGTTAAGCTGTTGATCTGCATCTCTGTTCTTCCTGGGAACATTCTAGCTCTCTTCCTATTCAGATAACCATCTATGACCAGCTGAACTTCCAGGGCAAGAAGATGGAGTTTACCAGCTCCTGTCCAAATGTTGCTGAGTGCAGATTTGACAATGTCCGGTCTCTCAAGGTGTAATGTGGAGCGTGAGGATAGATTTTAGCAGAACTTCAGACCCCTTATTCTCAGTCCCTAAATACCTGGGACCATAAAGGTGGGGATGTGGGGAGAAAGATGTTCCTCCACACTATTAACATTTCTGAGAGACAGACCTCCATACTGAAGTAATCACAACATGTGTAAACATGGCAAAGCTAGAAGGAACATAAAGGTCTTACTGTCTTGGAATGAGATTTGGGAGGTAGGAGGATTAAAGAGCTGTATATCATTAGTGGGGCTGTGACAGTCATCAGATCTATGCCTCTGGAGCTCATAGGTCTAGGATTCCTTCAGAAAAGCCACAGGACCTTTAAACTGTCTTTGCTAGCAGAAAATAGAGAGCTGCCCAATTGTACTTCTATCCATCCCAGAGCAGATACTACTAGATAATTTATCTGCTAAGGAATTCAGCCCAAGACTCAAGAGCCATGTTAGTTCCTAACTAGTTTTTCAGGTGTTGTTTGCTGATGTTTAATCTTACTAGTGAGGAAGAACCTCTGTTTCTTTTGTCTCCTGACTCTTGACAAGGCAGTCAAGGTTTTCCTGTCAGTCTTGGAAAACACATAGAGGGCCTCCCTGCTGGCACAGGGGGTAAAGAGTGCTATCACGTGCCACTGCAGCACGAGTTCAATCCTTGGGCCCACGTGGCACAGCAGACCTCTCTTGTCTCACCTGTTACTCCCCTCAGCAGTGTATTTCAGTAGATCTGCCTGTTCTGCTCCCCACTGTCTTGTGAGAATTCTCTCATCCCCCACCCCCTGCACCTCTGACCTAAGCCCCAGTTCTTGTGTGCATAAAAAAATCCTTAAAAGGAAAAAGAAAACACATGGAAAGTGCTCTCCTTTGGCTGAAGCAGAATTGGTTTTGTACATGGATAGGCTTCCAGAATTGCCTACCACTTAAAAGTGAATCTTCATCCCTTTAAAAGGAGTAGTAGTTTAAGTTGTCATAAGTAATTGGTTGTGAAAAATTGATCTAAAGTTTTAGGTATGTGGTAGCGGGAGAAGAAATCCACTTTGCCAATATACATTACTCCAGTTGTGAAATAGACCCTCAATGGGTAATCCCAAAATAAATGTCACATTTGCAAACACTTTTAGTGCAGATACCAACTCATTACCTGTCTTTTGTGATAAATATATTACGTTGCATGGTGCTACTGGAATTGGCTTGATATTTTAATCTACTAGTAAATAGTTTAACCCACTTTTAACATCTAAAACAAAAGAGGGGTCTCTCTGATGGTATAGCCTTTAAGTCTCAGCACTATCACCACAATAGCCTGAATTCTATCCTGGTCAGGGAGCTGAACCACATGGCACAGGAGACCTCTCCTACCTTGTTTGCTGTTCCCCTCAACAGTGTATTTCAGTGAATCTGCCTGTTTTGCTTCCTACTCTATCTCTGGTGAGTCTTCTTACCCCAGCAAATCTGGCCTACACCCCAGTTCTTGTATGCATAAATAAAAATAAATCTTTAAAAATAAACAAACCAAAATGTGCCTTCTCCCTGAAGCTGTGTAGATTTCTAAAATTATATTTGTATAGAACTGGCGTGTAAGTCAGAGGTGCAGGGGTGTGAGAGGGTTCACCAGAGACAGAGCAGTGAGCAGAACAGGCAGATCCACTGAAATACACTGCTGAGCTGCAGGCAAAGCAAGAGAGGTCTGCTGTGCCATGTGGGTCAGCTCCCTGGTCAGGGGTCGAACTCAGGCAGTAGTAGTGATCACACTGAAGCTAAACCCTAGGCCACCAGGGAGGTTCTGATTCTTAACCCTGAGAACAAATCCCACTTCTTGTCTTTGGCAGCTGGATTGGTTATGAGCATAACCAGCTTTTGTGGCCAACAGTTTATCCTGAAGGGAGGAGAATACCCTCACTGGGATGCCTGGAGTGGGATTAATGCCTACCACATCGAACGCCTCATGTCCTTCCACCCCATCTGTTCAGCTGTGACTCTGAAATTTTCATGTCTGTGCATGGAAGTTTGGGGCAAGAAAGAGGGTGTGGATAGACTGACACATAAATTACTTTTTAACAAGAAGGCAGGAAGGATAAAAGTATAAAAGAAAAGCTCTGCTCCCTCTGTTTCTGCCATTTGATTTTTCTACACTAGATGGTATTTTCATTAAGGTAAAAGTAAGAGCCTTCTTGAAGGTGGCAGGAAATGGATACTCAAAAGTCCAGGCCTTCAAAAGTGCCAACAGGATGAGCACTTACCGAGTAGTAAAAAGCAAATCATTGGCCAATTTTTTTTTTAACCTAGAAACAGGGAAATGTTTGACGTAACCTTTAAGTGGATGACTGAAGAAATTGTCAGATTTTCCAATGTCTTTTATTTTTGACTCATAATAATCCTGTTTCTAACACCAAACATTATTCTATTATGCCTCAGACTGGAATGCTGCTAGTCTTTGGAAAACTCAAGTGGAAGCAGGACTTTCAGTCTTGTTAAAAATGACCCATATGCAGGGAGTGAGGCTGGGCTTAATTAATCCTATCGAAATATTCTTATATATCATGTGATTTTTGTTATGATTTTAGTTTTTAATTATCACATCTTACAGTCCTACCAAAATTTAAGGGAAAGAAACCTAAACATCTCTAGATCAAAAAAAAAAATTGCTCTCTCAAAATTTGCTTTCCTCTCACTTTAGCTTGACTTTTTCCTAACATATAATTTGCATACAGCAAAACGTCTAGTTCCTAATGTATATGCTCGTGAATTTTTGAATTTTGCACCATAGGCCTGTCTGGTGGTGCAAGAGTTAAAAGTCTTACCACTATCAAGCTATGGCCAGCCACTGCTGCATGAGTTTGATCCTGGGCCAGGGAGCTGACCCACATGGCACTGCAGGCCTCTCCTGTCTTGCCCTCTGCTCCCTTCAGCAGTATTTCAGTAGCTCTGCCTCTTCTGCTCCCCACTCTGTCTCTGATGAATCTTCTTACCTCCCACACCTCTGACCTACACCCCAGTTCTTCAATGCATAAATAAAAATCAATCTTTTTTTTTCTATTGTGAAACTAGATAGAATTTTACTTACCTAGATTTAACATTTTAATTTTACATGTTTTTTTTTTACATCATTCTTCATTTTTGTACAATGTATGTTTTTTTGTTTATAGTTCCCAAAGCATTCCTACCAATTCACCAGAGTACCATCACCATAATACCTTGTGCTCTTCTCCAGTTTTGACCCTACTTCCTTCTCCCTCCCTGCAGAATGTCTCTGGTTACAGTTGCCTGTTGATTTTGATTTTTACTTTTTTATTATTTTCTTTCCCTTTGACCCCTTACACTCCTCCGAAAAGTGAAACCATCCGGTATTTTTTCTTTCTGGCATTTTTCACTGAGCATGATCCCTTCCAGCTCCATCCATGTTGCCATGAGCGGCTTTTTTGATTGCTGAGTAACATTTTATTGTGTATATGTACCTCATCTTCTTGATCCAGTCATCTATTTTTGGACATTTGGGTTGTTTTCATAGCTTAAACTGTGCTGTAGTAAACAGGGGTGCAGGGACTTTTTGAATTAATGTTTTTGTACTCTTTGGGTGGATCTGAGAGTGGAATTGCTGGATCATGTGGAAACTGCAAACCCCAAAAAATAATTAAAAAAAAAAATCACATACATAGGCCCTCTCTGATGGTGCAACGGGTTAAAACACAGCATTATGAAGCTATCCACAGCCACTGCAGCACGAGTTTGATCCCCAGCCAGGGAGGTGATCCACATGGTGTAGACATGGGGCAGCAGATCTCTCCTGTCTCACCCAATGCTCCCCTCAGCAGTATATTTCAATAGGTCTTCCTGTTCTACACCCCACTGTCTCTGAATCCTCTCATTCCCCACATCTCTGGCCTGTACCCCCGTTCTTGTGAGCATGATCTTTTTTAAAAAAGATGAAAATTATATACACTCATGTAACCAACACCCTAATCAGATAGATTCCATCACCTGCTGCCCCTTGTCAACTAATTGTACCTCACTTTCTACCATAAATGTTACTTCTGCACAAATGTTAGTTTTTGAACTTTAGATTAGCCTCTGCCCTAATATTTACATAGTACCCAAATTCCCTATTGGATATTTAGGTTGTCTCCAACACTGAATGTAAACACAGGTACATTTTTCCTTTCTTCATTGCACTTCTGTTGTTCCAAGTGAATCAGCTTTTATACATTTTGAACATTATGGCATTAAATTGAATTAAATGAGAGTATGGGTAACTGTTTTCTTATGAATTTGTATTGGCTGGAATATTTTTTCATGATCTTCTATAAGCCAAGTGTGTTGAATTTGAAAAGGTAATTAAAGAATTAATAAGACACCTTAAACTTTAGTGTCTGGGTTACAGAATCATAAGGAGTCCAAGATTATCATCTTTGAGAAAGAAAGGTGTATTGAGCAACAATGGGAGATCTGTGATGACTACCCCTCCTTATAAGCCATGGGTTGGTTCAATAATGCAGTTGGTTCCATGAATATAGTGTGGGGCATAAGTAAAAATAGGGTTGGAGCACATGTCAAAGAAACAAGGTCAAGGTGCAAGCCTTGTGAATACATCAATAATTCAGATTTCATATATTCCAATACCTTCCTGGGGATGTTGGTATGACTGTCACTTTCTAGTTCACACACACACACACACACACACAAAGTACATGTAATTTGAACTTCAAATTATTGGTACCAACAACCACTTAAGGTCACTTCCCCTCCTTTTTTTTTTTTTTTTTTAAGATTTATTTATTTATTCATACAGAACTGGGGTACAGGCCAGAGATGCGGAGGGTGAGAGGATTCACCAGAGACAGAGTGGGAGCAGAACAGGCAGATCGACGAAGTACACTGCTGAGGAGAGCAGCGGGCGGGTCAGGAGAGGTCTGCCACGCCATGTGGTCACCTCCGGGGCAGGCGGGGATCGAACTCATGCGGAAGTGGCTTTGACTTCTTAGTGCTGTGCTTTAACCCGCTGCGCCACCAGGGAGGGCCATTTCCCCTCCTCTTTTATGGAAGTATTTGTTGACTACTCAGACCTTCTTCTCATATGCAAGATGAATTTTCAACTAGTTGCGCTATCCTATTATACTTACAAATAGTGTCTGACACATTTAGGATGGCTGGTTTTCTGGGCCATTTGATGTGCTTTCTGTACCATAGTGTTTGAGGATACCACTTCAGGATTTAGGGTGTGAAACAGGTTCCTAATGAGTTTTTTTTTTTTAAGATTTATTCATTTATGCATACAAGAACTAGGGTATAAGCTAGAGATGCTGGGGGAGGGGAGTGAGAGGATTTACCAGACTGGGGAGCAGAACAGACAGACCTACTGAAACACAGAGAGGAGTATCTGATGAGTCATTTTAAGTCTGCTGCATGATGTGCTTACAGTGACCGGTGACAGCTGGAAGCCACTGTCTTTAACCCCTGCATACCAGAGGTTCTTCTAACTAGTTTTAATAACCCAGCGTGCTCTGGATTTTCTAGTTGAGTTTGCTACCAGTATCCTGGATACCATGGATATCGGTGTATCTTGGAATGTGACCATCACGGAGACTATAAACACTGCAGAGTGTGTGGATCCCATGCCCAGGTTCAATCTGTTCACCGTATCCAACAGTAGTGAGTGGAAGTAAGAGAATTCCTTAAGTATGTGATTTTGCTAAGTAATCTGGATTTACGTTGTGCTCGTAGACATTGCTTCCAAATACTAGCTGAAGTTTGCAATAAATGTCATTAAAAAAAAAACCCACAAAACTCTGTAGACTGAATTAATTACCATGAATCATGAATCACAGTATGTGGCAAAGAACTTTTTAAAGACAATCTTAACACCCAAATTCCCTTTTATGTACTTGCAAGTCACTTACTAATCAGGACAATTATTTTCTCCATCAAAACCAGTAGTCTCTCAAGTTTGCACCATATATTTTGCTATAAAATCATGAATCCAGAATTTTACCTTATTCTAATTGCTTACTATGCTAAGCTCAATTTAATATAAAAAGGCAGGGCAGCTGACCTCACAGCTGATTTTCCAATCTCAACCTGAAGCACCTTAAAAATTATTTTGTAAAAGCCAAGACATATAACCATAGTGCATTTAAGGTGAAGTTTATTTATATATTTGACCTTTTGAAAATGTTATCAATGTCACATTAACTTATTTTTTATTTTTAAAATTAAAGCACACAGAATATAACACAAACACCTCAGAAACTTTAAAAATTTTTTATTAATAATGTACACTTATTGTCTTAATATGATCTACAAATTTCTCAAGTATTTTTTCCTGATAAAATAAGTAAATCTGGGTATGGATGTAGTGTTTGCAATTTATATTTTTAAAAAACACTGAACATTAAATAAGACAATAAAGGAAGGTCATCATGTAACTGATACTTCCTCAGAATCCATGACATCAGAAACACCTATGGCAAACACCTAAGCATTGAGCAGAGTAAATTTCTGGCCACTGTATATCAAGAAAAGGACTATCTTTTGACTGGGGAAAACAAACATTAGGAAAAAATATTTGTGGGAGAGGAAAGCAAATAAATCCTCTAACATAACTGTAGTCCACTTATTATCTTTAGTTCTCCAGATTAAGAGGTAACTCAGCTCGTACATGCCAACACACACAAGATAAAATTACTTTGCTCCTCCAACAGGTCCTAAAACTGAACAAACTATTGACAGGGGTGTAGGAGTAACCATGGTGATCCGAGATGATCTTTGCTCCTGCATTTATGCCTTTTAAGGCCATACATTATGGCCACCTTTTCAGTCTTGACTAATACAGTTTTTGTCAACTTCAATGAAAATACAGAGAAAGAAGTTTTGCTGTGTTGCTGTCAATAACATACATCAAGCACAGCTGACAGAAAAGTCCCCTCTTCCATACCTAGGAAAAGGCATAAGATGAAAGTATTTCTTTAATATCTATAAGGGGAAAATACCATTAGTATTATCTTCCACTTAAACTTACTAGCCTTTTCAACAAAAGTCCGTAAGAAATTGCAAAACAATCTTCTGTAAGACGGGCCAATACATCTACAAAATCTTCTGAGTACACATACACGTGAAGTAAATTTATTACATGCAGAAAGCAGCAACATACCCAAATTTGCCCAGTACCTAAACTTACTCTAATCAACTTGGGCAGTTTTTATAAGATATGTAGTATCTCTAAAACAACTGGTGTTTTGTTTAAATGATTCTAATCTGAAGTCATTCATTAAGCTGAATTTATGCTAAAGCAGTAAAAAGGTTATCCTACTTTAAACCAGGTTTAAGACAAAATTGTCATAGAACTTCATGTGGCAAAGGTCCTTCCTTCATTTGTTTGAATTACTTCCCATTTCTATTTGATCAAATAAGCCAAAATTTCACTGAGGAAGAGCATCGAACAGTTTGTAAAGCTGGTAAAACTGCCCTGCTTTCTGGAAAAGCCCTTTAATAGACAAAAGTCAAACTCCCATTTGAATAGAATTAAAATAAGTGCCAGTTTTGTGCTCTTCTAATCTCTCTGATGAGCTAACCCAGAACTGTCACTTTGAGCCAGGTTTCCAAAGATGGTAAAGAACAGGAAATAAGAATAGGTCACTTTTGGTAATGACACACAAATTAAACTTTCAAAACATGTGCATAGCTTTATTCGTCTACTTAGATCTAACCTTTTCATGGAGCTTCGGCAAAATTCGAGTGTGCAAAATGCATTTCTAAAACGTAATGCAAGCAAAGCTTTTCACATTTACACTGGCATGAAATACAGAGAAACTAACAAGTCACATTAGGGAGAGTTCAGATCTTTTTTTTAATGACAAGAATTGCACAGTTCTTTATTTTGAGACAATTGTTGCAGACATAAATAGTTAAAATTTTTAAGCAAGGTGCTTTCACAATAAAAAATTTTAAGTTGGAAAGAGCCAATAACTTGGACCATAGCTAACATAGAATTCCAAATTATACTCCGTTAACCTCCCTATGTTTTGCAAACAACGCTTTTTATAACACTTTTTTTTTATAACACTAAAGAAGACAGCAAGCTGAAACTTATTTCCACACACACAAGAAATGGTGTCATCACATTACTTGAAGAAGGTGCTGAGGGGAAAGGAGTGAAGAATCCTTTTACTATTTCCCACTACAGTACAGCCACTAACAGACTAAGAACAAAAAAGGAAACATCAAAAAAAGTAAATTAATCACTTCCCTAGTTTATAAAAGTTCCAGTTTGTGACAAGATCTATAACTTCAAACAGAGAGCACCAGTTGGCGATAGAATGAGCATTTCATACTGCATAAAAATTAGTGAGGTGGTAAGAACCATCTATCTCAGGCATAACTACACGGCCTTTCCAATTTTTTAATATACATGCAAGGCACATTGATATAAAAATAGATCTCTGGCCAACAAATATATTAAATAAGCAAATCAAAATTTTGGCTTTGCAATATTGGCAACATCAAAATATAACCAGATAGCTTTGGACCACATATTCCTCCACCCCAGTGGGTATTCCTTATTTGGGGCTCAATTTCCTCCAAGTTTGGGTATGTGCTTGAGAATGACTTTCCCTCTTGTCAAGTAGCACTCCTACTATATTTAAATATTCACTAAGTAAGAATATAGCAGAGAAGCAGAACAGTCAGAATTCTGATTGATTTAATCTGATTGGCTCGGGCAGCATTGTTTCTCCTTTGTATACAAATAAAAAACCCCAGCTTATATAAAAACAATTGTTTTCTTTCTAAGAGATAAGCAACAAACCAATGATACTACTTCCTTTAAGTCATTTTCCCCAATTCTTCCTTTTGGAACTGAGTAATAATAGAAAACAAAACTAAGTTTTTCAGTAAAAGACATTTTAAGGCCAAAAAGGGAAATATTAACAGAATTTTCACTTTCCACAGTTACTTGTACTGATTCCCTCCCAAGGAAAAATTTTAAATTCATTCACTTTTATTAGTGGCTGTGCTACAGAAAAGGTATCAAAGCAACCTTTAAAGGTATGGTACATATTAATGTAAAAAGTGCATCACATTCTCGATTTTCAGTTTCTCATAGCAGCAGCAGGATTAATCCAAGACAGAAAACAATTGTATTTTTATTCTAAAAATGCAATACCTAGTGAAATGTGTTCAAGATCCAGAAAGAATACTCCTCCACAGAAAATAAATGAAACATACTAATAAAAGACAAACAAGGGCAAAACTCAAAGCATTCATTCATATTTACATAATAAAACCTTTTTGTTCACACTAAATCTTTACATCTAGCAAAAGTATTTAATAATAAAGCAGACATCACTAAAGCAGTATCCATTTTTGGAGCCTTTGTTTAGCACCTGAGGAAAAAAGGGTTATGGAAAGTTATAATTTACCTCAAGTTGGTTTGTTGGTCTGCAGATTAAAATTTTGCTATATAATAAAAATGAAACAGAACAGAGTGAAACTGAATTGGAAAATAAATGTAGATACTTTAGTAAGGCTATAGAAAAGGGATACTGCAGTATTATAAAATGGCTTTAGAACTCTGGACATAAAATTTTACGAATAGAAGTCTAAATCAGCAATCCCATCACATGTGAGGATATTTGTTCCATAAGTTGATTTCTAGCTCATAACCCCTATTTGACACTCCCCGTAATGCAAACGCAATATACCATTTCATTAATGTTTCACTAGGTGTTATTATTATGCAGACAACTTAAAGCTCTATTCGTACAACCTTTCTTCAGTGCTAAGACAGTGGAAGTTAAAATTCAGTAAAGCACTACTTGGGAGGAGCCAACATTTCATCATCCCTTAAACCAATCCAGAGTGATTCTAGGTTCTCCTACATCTGAACAGGTTGACACATTTAAAAAAGCATTTTAGGATACTCAAAGCAAAAGCCCGTGTTTTTCACCATAAAAGAATCCTGGTGCTCTGTCAATTAATCACATCAATAAAAATAACATCAATTATTAAGAACAATTACCTATCTGTCTCTACAAACTTAGAGCAGCTACTACTAGTCTTGTCCTCTGTCCCTCCCCTTTAAATATCAATACTTTGTGGGGAGAAAAAGATGAGCAAATTCTACCTCCCCCCACCCCTTCTTTCAAAATTCAACACATCACAGGTAGGACTATAACGACACTGCCTTATCAGAACCTCAACTGGCACTATCAATAGACTTGATCAGAAAAACTATAGTCCAAGACGTTATGTCCCACTACAGCATGTTTTACATTTAACATAAGTATAGAAGGTTCATGTATTATTTGATATGGCCAAAAGAGAAAAAACTATGATCATCTATAGAAATGGGATTTTAAAACCATTTCTCTTACTCTTGAAAGAACGATTCCTTATTTAGCAGAATCAAGAACCAAGTCATCTTCCAGATTTTCTTGCCTGTGGCCATTTGGTGTATGATATGCAATTTCACAATAAATGGCTTTTTTTTTTTTTTTAAGTTTACAGCAAGACAAATCTTTAAATGCCTGATTGGGTTAAGCAACAAGCCTAATATGTACGAGACTACTGCTGCTGTTTTGTGAAGAAACATATTTAGTACTGTGGACAACACTCAAAACTAAGGTTCATCATTTTCCCTAGAAACTGTTATTTGAAAAACAATGCAGCACTTTTATTCCTTTATAAAGTTTTTGCAGATTCTGTGACGAGTAAATAAGCAGATGATTAAATGGGAGAGAACCTCTCCAGTCATTTATTTTAAAAAACCAGTATT